TATATTAGATATGCATAGTTTCATCCATAAATATATTCATAGTTTCATCATAGCTGGACTCATATTTTCATCTACAGATTCATCCATCGTTTCATTCATAATTTCATTTATACAAATGTATTCACAGCTTCTTCTATCCATAGCCGTGATCTATCCATAGTTTGATTAATCGATATACCTTTAGTTTTAACTATAGATATCATAATTTTTAAAGAGATAAAAAATATAAAATATAAGTAGGTTGCCACTTATATCTAATTTCGTCTTATATAAGTATTGGCCCCAGAAAAACATCCAATACTTCTCAGTCGCTAGTAAAGTATAAATGATAATGACAATAAATCAATAAAATGCAAAGCTTGAAAAGAGAACTATTTCTAAAACTATTTATATTATGCAGGATATTGAAACCGAAATACTTAACTAGACAAAAAAAAGCTATAAATAAGAGCTTTTCTCGTATAAAACACTTACAAGAAAATTCTATTTGTCTGAATTTTTTGCTAAGTAAATTCTTCTTCAGTTAGTTACAGCTGGTAGATTGTCTGTAAGCACGAAATTCTATACCTAGATCGCAGTTCGTGACTGGCTGAATAGATTTTCATGACGTCATATCGAACTATAGCAAAAAAAGAACATTTTTTCTCAAAGTGAACGATGGATTTACCCTAAAGATACATAAAATAAATACTCCATCGATAAAGTATTGTCTTTTTTATTATCAAAAATTTCGGTAACCAATTCGCATACAGAGCAGAATATATTCCACATTTATCGAATATTTATGTAAATGTTAAGCATTTTTCAAGATTTATGCCAGAAAAAACTCTTACGATTACTACTCATGATTTAAGTTTATTGATTTTTGTTAGAAGTAATAATAAAGTTTTATTTATTAATGGAAGTTGTAGTTAAGGTTCTTTAAATTGAGAAAATATATTTGTCTGTGTTTTTCTCTTAAATCCAAAACTGATTAAGCCCTAAATTTGGACTGCGTCTTTAGTCTCAAATCCAAAAAACCGTTAAAAACCCTTTAACTAGCTCGTTCGGGAGAAATATGTAAAAACGAATATTTTGCATGGATTAGAATTAAGTACTGCTACAATTCAAACTGCAGACGAAAAAATTTTATCAATAATTTAAATTATAACATTAGTCATGTTTGGTAGCTTACAGCTCTATTAAGTCAAAAATTAAATTTATCGGTAGTTCTTTAATTATCTGTTTCTTTTACGGTTCTTTTACGCAAAGTAAGCAAAAATAAAATGTTCGTGATGGAAATTTGAAACAGACGCCCAATGAGAATGCGCGAAATAATGTTAAAAAATGATAAAATTAAATGCCGAATAGGCAATCTTTTGGTAAAGTTTTGGAATACTTTTATGCTTTAGCATTTCTGGAGATAAAAACAGAAATTGGGTACTTGCACTTCCAGAAGATCACAGATACCCACACATATGACCTATGTGGTTAGTGACAGCTTATCGCTTATAAACAGAATGGCTAATTTTCTTCGCATAAGTTAAAATATTAATTAACGTGAAGTTAATTTAATTAACTTCACTTCATTAGTTAGTATTTAATTAACGTGAAGTTAATTAAATACAGCTCCGCATCAGACATCAAATTTGTTGAAATATAATTCTTTCTCGTCTCGGTCTTTTATTTAACTTAAGGTCTGGTTTCTTAGGACAAGCGCCTTATCTGGGCGTCAGCGGGACGTCAACGTCACGCTGACGCCAACAAAATACTGGTTTGTTAGCTCAAAGGCCTGGTTTCTTAGAACTAACGCCTTATCTGGGCGTCAGCGGAAAGTTGACGTAGATCTGACGCCAAAAAAATACTTTTTTGTTAGCTCAGCGTGAGCAGTCGGTCCAACGCAGACATTATCTCTCATTGCGCATGCGTTAATAACGTAAACAAATATTTATTTTGAATTTGTATTGATTTTGTTANTTATTTATTTATGTGTTTTATTATAATCGTGCTATATTTTTATTTTGTGTGCCTGGCAACTTCGATCCATAATTAGTTTGTTTATGTTCTACACGTCTTCGTGCCAGTCTTTGTGTTAAGTAAGAAATATGTAGTGAAAGAATTGAAATCTTTGTAAAAGAATATAAAATGTGTCACTTAAGAGAATTGATACTTGGCGAGTTTGGCTTACTCGAAATGGAATGGAAAGAACAGTTGCGAACGTAAACATATGCCACGCTTCAACAACCAGTCAGGAATGAGATACCCTCACTACGTCACTTGCAGGTTTCTCATTGGATATGTGTGATTTTAAAAACTCAAAACTTCTGTCTTCACTTTCTGATTTAAAAACAGTGGTAGAGCACAATGATACAGCTGTACCTATCTCCTCGCATTTCACGATAGACTCTGGTTGCATCTATCGTATTCCGGAATCGAGCCGAAAATCTCTGAAATGTCTGCCGATTGAAATGAACAAACTTAAAATTGTATTTTTTTTTTCTTCAAAAAGTTTTGGTTCCTTTACTCCTTTGGTTTCCTCGCTATTTTCTGCGCTGATGGCGAGGAAACTATCACGTTACTAGAAGGCCGATGAAGTTAGTAGTACACTGTTTTATTTGTTGATCAGTACCGCAATGCTTAAATTTACGATGCTAATCAAGTATTTTATCTAGTTTTAGAATAATCAACAGCAAAACCTTTTCCCTTCGTGATTTTTTTCTCCATTTTTGATTAAATAATGATAAAACCTAATTAATATTCTAGATTTGCGCAGTTTGATGTAAATAAGGACCGGCATCTAATAGCCAAATAAATGTAAGGCTTCTTATCCATTTTACTAGATTTATGACTCTTTGAAATCTCAGTGCTGTTCAGCAATTTTATGAAGAAAAAAAATTCAATCATTTAATCAGGATTTTAATAAAATCAAAATTTAGTGATCCTTCACCTTGTTTAATACTTTAAGCATATGTAGTAACAAATCTCATATGACTCAAACTTGTTACTTTAAAAAGTTTAATGATGTCATTTTCGCAAAAAACGATTCATATTAAGATTTCAGTAATTCAGAGTTATCGAAATGGTGATTTATCATATGAAGGCCATGTGCTAATTTACTTTCGTAAAAAAATTTCAAGCTACTCGCAAGTTGTATTTTTTTCTCGAAATTCTTAAAATTCCTTATAATTATTATAATTATCATTTTATTAAAAAATATTGAACCCAATTACCAAATTTTAATGAAATATTGAATAAGTTTAAATAAAATGTGGAATTTTCATAATAGAGAGACATTTTTTAAGTTTTTTTCCTTTTTGTTATAAAAATTTCCTGACTTTTAAATTTTTACGTATTTAAATCTATATGATGATTGTTTTGAATTAACAGTTCAATAAGTAAAAAATATCTGACAGGGGATAATTCACAAATTTAAATACATAATCGGATTTTATGTTAAGGTAATATAGAAGGTGTTAAGGTAATATAGAAAATAGAGATTTTTAATATTAAAGAAGAATCAACAGTTATAATTGATTTTTTTTCAGTTACTTTCCTTCGTTTTTTCTTTCATTTCTATCACATTATTTTATTATTTGATTATCTTTTACTTATTGCCTCATATAACGGCTATAACCGTCCAATTTTAGGTGATCTGGGGGCAAGAGATGGCTATCACTGTATATTTGAATTAATAAAAAAAGGAATCTCAGTAGTACAAAATTAACTTGTGCATTCATTTGTTAGCAATTTATTTCAATACAACAAGTGATTTTTTAGAAACTTTATAGTGATAAAACTTCGATATAACGATAAATTTCTTCGCCATATATTTGTAATTAAACTATATGTTAAGCTGTTTGCCAGTTGCATATTATTTACGTGTTGAACTGTAAAAAAAGAATCATGTATTTGAAAAAAAAGAATATCTGATTAAAAAAGATTTAAAAATAAAGAATAGTCGAAACAACCTGAAAATTTTAAAATTTACCATGTTTCTGGCTTCACCAAAAAGCTCGGTAATTTTTACCGAAGCATTTTGTATTGTGATATTTTATTATTTTTTTTACTAAATGTGTGATAATGAAAACTAAAATTTTGAAAACCAGAATTTCCTGCGAAATATCACCATATGAATGATTTAAATATTGTATATTTTGGTTTTATTAACCTAGATTATTTTTTTTAACAGAAACGTCATTAGCATAAAGTACGGCAATTTTATCAGGAATTTTTCCACATTTAATTTGAAGATTGTTCTCTGCCTCATTATTAAAAGTGTGCAGGTTTATTAAGTTTTCAAACATTGATTTCTTATTATTTAATTTTTTTATTTGTTCTTAATTTTTCAACAAATATGCTTTTACTTTCATTGAAGTTCATAAGCAAATAATTTCCAAATAAAAGATGATTTTTTAGAATTAATGGGCAATCATTCTTTAAAATATTAATCATAAACAAAGTTCCCTTTAGGAAATATGACGCCACGTAGCAGACCTATCAAGATATTTGAATTTTCTCTTTTTCTTACTTTCAGTTGGAAAAGTAACCATTCCAACCAACCTTGCTACCAATTCCCTATGAAAGACTCGATATAAAACTACAAGACAAGCAAAAGTTTGTAGCTTTTGCTGATGCTACTTATTGAATAACTGTTGCCAATTTCCAATCCCTCCTAAAGGCAAACTTCATTTATGTTTCCAATAAATGTTTGTAATGAATAATTAAAGCTTGAGCCGGTCTTCTCAAAATGACTGTTTTAACACAATAAGGCTGGAAAACTTGAGATATATCTACAAAAACTCCATTATCGGTTTTATCAAGCTCACATAAAATACTCCTAAATGAGGTTTGAGTATTTGTTACATTTTCATTTAGATTTATATATAAACACTTTATTTAAGATAACAAACTTGGATGATCATAATAGTGTAAGAATGACTTCAACCATATACTTTCGCTTTATAAAAATTATGTGTCTTAGAATATGAGTTTTATTCATATGTTTACACTCTTTTCTTTAGCGTTGGATACAACGACAACGACAGTCGAAATGGCTGCAGAAGAATTTTCTACCAGCACACCGCTAACTACCATGCCATCAATAACAGACTTCAAAAAAGATGACGCCATGGTATGGACCAATCCACCACAGCTTGAACCTCGGACAGTGAACTCCATTCTGCCCCTAACCACAATGTCACCCATAACCACCATGATAAACCATGGGGAAACAGACTCAGAAGTCCCTCCACAGAGAGAATGCAGTCAACAGGAATATGATTTCATGAAAGAAAATCTACTGTTGTTCAATAACAATAGGTTAACAGATTCTAAAAAGCCTGGTATGTTGAAAGCATAAGGATAATTTGTTGTTTTTTGTGTTACTAATTGGAATTTTAAAGACATAAATAATTCTTATAATATCTTAGCCAATATTTCTCATAATCAAAGCTCTAACAATAAAGCATTGTTCAAATTCGATAAATATTATTCATTTCAGTCGTAAAACTATTTGTTATTTTTCTGTAGCAAATAGTGATAAATTTAAAAGAAATTTTGATACCGTTTCAAAGTAATATTACATTATTCTTATGTATATATTATAAGGAGAATGTATCACAAATTATTATAGAAGTATTAGTATTACGGAACTTTAGTTTTATAAAACGCATTGTGTCTGCTTATATCAAATACTTATAGCGAAATTGTGCTAAAATTGTGTTACTAAAATTATACCGAGTTTTTAGGAAGACTATAGTCAAAATGAAACTAAGACAAATATAGAAAAAACGAACATTGCAGGAAATATAAGAACAATTTTTTAACAGCTGTTGTTTACTCTGATCTCTCGCCGCACTAGTCTAGTTCCTGCCAGACAGTATTCTGCAAGGTACAATCAACTGTATTGACAGCACGCATGATCCTTTCAAGCAACGCTTTAGTAGAAAAAGTCGCGGATATAAAGTGCTGTCAATATCATGATACCGTATTGAAAGGAGTCTCGTAACAACTGAACTATCATATCATATCATACTATACTATCATATATATTATTATACCACATGACTGACCAACATAAAGCACCTATAAGGTCGGTAAGGGGCTCATACATAAAACACCTATTATTGTTATAAGAGTTCACACAAAAAACTTCTGTAAGGACTCTAAATGTATGGACTGTATTTCAATACTTAGTGCAAGGTTTATTTTTTGCTATATTTTTCTTAGTTTTTTACTATATCTCTGAAACTGCAGAGGGCATTATGAACAACTCAGGGCTGTTAGCACAAATAGGCGGAAATATGGCAATAAATGGTCCTGCTGGATTTAATAAACATTTATAATTACATTTCTAAGTATTTTTGCTGGATTGATGCTTCTATTAAGTTAACTAAAAATTAATGATTTTGATTTTATTAAAAGTTAAATTTAAGTATCAAAAGGTTCATAATAATGGATATTCGATGAACGAGAGTTGGTATTGTGCATTTTGAGTTTTTTGAGAGAAGTCAAACCATTGGTTTCGAAGTATATTCACCACAGCGTCAGAAACAGCCGACATTAAGCAACAAGAAAGAAGTGATTTTCAAGACAATACCTGGCCTTATATGTCGAAAAGAGCCACGAAAGAAGTTAATACACTTGACTGGGAAGTTCTCTCTCATCCTCTTTACTCCTGAACATCTCACTATATCTGATTATCATTTGTTTTTGGCAACAGATAAAATTTGGGTGAACAACGGTTTTAATGTTGAAGAGTTTATTTACTTTTATCTCGTTTGGAAAATGGAATTGAAGCTGGTGGAGTTTGTTCTACTGAATAAAATACCATGTCTTTGAAAGCAAAGGGTCTTCGTATAGGAACTAATTACAAGTGAAGTTTTACTAACTAATTAAGTTATGGAAAAGCAACTTTATAATGCTCAAAGGAATTGTTGCAAATTGCACGTAAAAGCTGTTCGCAATACATTTGTCATCAAAAACCGAATTCACAGAAAACTTGGTAAATTGATACCATATGCCTACTGATGATGGTCTCGGATTTCTATTCTTAATTCAAAAAATCAGTCTTAACACTAGGTTTACGGACGTTTCTTATATACCTATCTCTACGAACAAGCGTCAATTTGACGCATGAACGAATACATATAACAGCACTTTAAGTGCTGTTATATGTATTCGTTCTAAGCGACATCAAAAGCAATCTAACTATATGCTATAAGAAAAAAAAATTAAAATATAAGATATATATTCATGAAATATTCTAGTATTTTATTTTCCAATACTCGAACTAAGCAACTGAAACCTTCAAAATCTGACACTCTAACATCAATTGACATTCTGCGCTTGTTCTTTCTATCATTGCTTATCGGCAACAATTGTTTATCGAATGTTTCATTTGCGATAATAATATCGGATAACGGATCGCAGTATTGTCAGTACATTCCTATTTATTATTGATGTGATATTTGCATGTTTACTCAAAATTTTGTCTAAATTACGATCGCGTCAAATCGACGCATATCCGTAGAGATAGGTATACCACAAAGAGAATTTCAATATTTCAACGCTTTTGAAGAAAATAGACTTCAATATATATTTACTTCGATCAATGGATGAAAGTCATTACAAGAGATTAAAAACAATTTAAACGGGTTTTGTAATTTTCCTTGTAAAATTCGAAATGCGTCAAAATGACGCATCCCGTAAACCTAGCGTTAAATTCAAAAAAATTAGCAAATTCAAAAGTTCGCTTATACACTTTATTTTGCTAAACTCTGTCGCACTGCTGTGTCGCGACAAATTAAAATCTCAAAATTTGTGTCTTCACAACTCATTAACTGTTTACATTATTTAATTGCAAATTTAATATTTGAAATATTTCAAACATTCTAAATAACCTCTTATACGTAATTCCTGAATTTCATTAATCAATTTTAGGCAATGAATACCTAGTCAGTATAATGTTCTCTCACTACGACCAAAATAACAATGGTCAATTGGAGGCGGAGGAGCTGTGGCAGGCGGCTGAGAGAGACCATCTTGGTCAGCTGTCCTCCTCCTGTATCCTTGCGGACATGCTGTTATTTGATGACACTGACCGAGACGGCAGCATGTCCATCAACGAGTTCTATCTGGCATTTAGTAAGTTGGACAGTAAGTGTAACCTTCCTCCCCTCTCTTTTCCCTATTTTCTCTTTATTAGATGGATTCCTTTTAGAAACACCATAGATTGTAGCATGAGAACTTTACCAAAAAATTTTCCCTTATTCTTGTGTCAGTTATTTAATTATAAATATTATTATTAGATATTTTTATTTTAACTGCTGTTGGTAATTATAGATGCTAAATATTGTTGGTGTATAACAAACCTTTTATTATTGACACTAGGTAATACAAATTAATTTTGGTGTGTACTGTGCAATCCTTATTATTATGTATTATTAGTATAAGGTTTTTTTTATTTTATTTTATAACCGCCGTTAAACAGCCGACCAAATTTTGGGTTCACGACTATTAATTTTCAACTCCGTAGCCTTGTAATTTTGAACCCAATACAGAAAACAAGGGAACTCTTGGATCAAGTATAAGAAGAAATTTTGCCTTAGTGAAGGAATTTTTGATGGAACTAACCCGTATTTGCGTTGCATGAGGAAACATTAGCATTGCATGAAGAAAACGACGAAAACCTCCTACGGTTAGCCTGACGACAAGGGGACTCTAGCCCATGATCCGTCTACCACTGAGGATATTTTACTCCAGCATTGTGGTTGTGCGAGTCGAGGGCAGTCATCGTCCAACCATCGCTGGGATTCGAACCCGGTACACCTCATTCGAAAGTGAATGCTCTGTCCCCTGAGCCATCACGGCTCCAGTATAAGGTTATTGAATTTTTCAAGCTTAAAAAATTTTATCACTTTTTATGCTATTATATTTTTCTGAAACTACAAAGTAAATAAATCCATGTCATAGCTTTAGATCTGTTACAGTTTATCTCTTATATTAGCCGCCTTTGGGGATCAGCTTGGACACGTTTCAAAATCATTTTGTACAACTTATAAACTTTAATGATATGCAAGCCGAATGCTCAGCAGAACAGTATTTAAATATTCTAATTCTTCAACTCCTGCTCCGATCTTAACAACTTAATTAGTTTTAAACAATATATTAATCAATTGTTATCATCGTCTATCAGTTGCCAGCAGCTTTGCTCGAGCGGAAATACTTAGATTTGAATTTTAACTATTTCTAAGAGATGTTTACGACACTATCAAAGTTATATATTAAATTTTAGTAATAGTTTTCAATCTGTCCGGCAACCATTTAATTCACACAAACCACCATCAGTCTGAGTTCCGGACGTTTCAGCCAAGAAGACACTATAAATATTGATTTCCATTTCTGTCGTGTGATAAAGTAGAAACTCATCCCAATGATCCATTACTTGCGATACCACTGTTAAAAGTACTAGATTTTATTTATATGCTATTTAAGTATATGTGAGTTGTATGCTAAATTTTCATTTATTTGTTATTTGAGTATATGTAAGCTGTAAGTTAGAGTACGTATCATCGGTTGCTGTGGTGATATTATGGAACAAATTTTTGAGTTAAAATAAAAGTCTTATGTTTCTTGTTGTTGTTTTTTTGAAAATGGAGTCAGAATATTTTTATTTTAACACAAAATTTGCTCTATAATATCACGATAGCAACCGATGATACAAATTGTAACTTACAGTTTACATATACTCAAATGACAAATAAATTAAAATCTAGCTTACACCTCATATATACTCAAATAGCGAATAAGTAAATTCTACCCCTTCTTCATGCACCTCTTAAGCCATAACTTGAGTATCATATAATATAGATGTGCTATTGTTTGAAAAAGGCAAGCATTCGTATGACAGTGACGTTGCTTACCTTTTTTAACAATAGGCGGTACCATAGCACTGTCTATGTTTAAAATTTCTACAACTATTTCAGAGAGGATCAAAAATAAATCTAAATAATTACTTCATTTTTTTCCCTATAAAAACATCAAATTACTCTAAGTAAATGCTTAAGATATGACTGACTAACAACACTAATTAAATTATTACTTAAGACAACCTAATACGAAAAATCTAACCAAATACTCAACATACATCTTATTTTTTTAAAACCACTGTTTTTAAGACAAGCTAACAAAATTAACAAAAACTAAAGCGTTGCCAACCGATAGCGAAATACTCGAGTTTATGATGCCACGTAATAGTATATATAGATAAAATATCCCTCTTTTTGAATACGAAAAAGAGTCGGAATCAATAGTTTTTATAGTAAACTAATTTTCATATTAAATTTGTACTGTCTTAAGTTAAAATAATTTAATTTATGTTTTCTTACGTAGCATTATTGACATTTTCTTAGAATTATTTTTATTTAATATCCTTCAGTGTAATGTAATTTTCGAACTGTTTGCTGACACAATATTTGCGCTTCAAATTATATCTAATCAGAAAGGTAAATAACTAAAATTTAAAATCAGATACACAGCAAAAATTTTAAAAATATTTAAACATCGAAGATTTTTAAATTAAGGTAAACAGCTAAAATTTTTAAACATTTCAAAAAAGCCATTCTGACAACTTTTTTTTTCCTCATTTTACTGGTTCACTGTTATTGATCATTGATTCTGAGCTACCATGTTTCTTACTTCTGAGGTATTCACCGTGCGAAATTAAAAGAACAAATTTGATATCATTTGTAGCGTAGAAACATTAGAACCAAACGCATTATTAATATTTCACATGATCTGAAATGATATATTTCAACGTAAGAACTCATACTTAATAATGGGGTGAGATTTCAGCTGTTCAATTTTCAGAAAATTAATTTTAAGAGAAGGTTTTCATATTTTTGGAACTTACGTTATTTTAAAACAGTCAGGCTGTATAATTTTCGAGTAAAACAAAAAATAAATAGTTCAGTAAATATTTAGCTAATATAGTACAATATCTGTTGAAAGATATATAAAAGAAAAGCAAACGCGTAGAGAAATTATGGATTCGGGTGCATGTGCCCTCTCCACAATAATTTTCCAAAACTTAGGAATATTTTAATTCCAATTCTTTTTAATAAAACTAAAAGAGCCGTGGTAGCTCAGAGGATAGAGCGTTTGCCTTCCAATGAGGTGAACCGGGTTTGAATCCCAATGAAAGTTGGTCGATACGAACTTCGCTCTCGGCTCGCACTGACAGTAGTGCTGACATGAAATATCCTCAGTGTTAGACGTATCATGGGGTAGAGTCCCCTTGCGCTCAGGCTAACCGTGGGAGGTTTTCGTGGTTTTCCTCTCCATGTAACGCAAATGTGGGTTAGTTCCACCAAAAAGTGCTCCTGGAAGACAAAATTTCACCCGATACTTGATCCAGGAATTCCCTTGTCTTCTGGATGGGTTCAAAATTATAAGGCTACAGAGTTGAACATTAGTAGTTGTAAACCCAAAAAGTGGGTCGGTCATTAAATAAAATAAAACCAAAAGAGTAATTTTTTATTAATTAAAAATCAAAAAGTTTGGAAAATGTATTAACATGATTATTTCACAAAATATATAATAACAAACTAAGCAAATTACAAAATTTAACACAATTATGTAATAAATTAAATACTACTAGGAGGCTTCGCCCCCTGCTCGCTGGCGCTCGCCAACCCCCGAAACTGCTTTCGCAGTTCATTTTGGATTGCTTCGCAATCCGATGCTCGCTTTGCTCGCTCATTGGATACGTTCTTAACGTCTAGCTTTTGTATACTTTTTTGAACACTGAAGTTCCGAAAATTTTTAACTGTAGAAAATTCTAAACCTGTACATTTCAATATTAATTTGAAATTGCAAACCGTTCGCATATTTTTCTTAATTGTACTGAACGCTGGATGTAAAGCATCGGCTTCGATGAAGATAATTTTGTGAGAATTTTTTTGATAATTCGGTGAGAATTCACCCGATTAGCCATATGATGCTCACTACGTGCTCTTGCGCGCCGAAGCCTATCAATTAAAAC